GACAGCAGCCTGTCCCGAAGGCGCCGCACCAGCCGGGGGTCCCTGCAGCTCACAGGGAGCACCGGGGACAGGATCTGCAGCCGGTGGTGGAGCAGGAACTGGAAGTGAGCCTTGCGCCGCTGCAGGTTCCTGTCGGAAACACCATAATAGGCTGCGTGAGGGCTGGCAGAGCGCAGCTCGAAGTCTCGGGTCAGGGCCTCGTCCACCACGCGGGCCAGCCGGCTCAGCCCCTCGGCGTCGTGCTTTTCCTGAAGGGCGATCTGGCGGTGGATGTCCAGACACTTCTCCTCCAGCTCACGCTCCCCGCACAGGTCTGCATGTGTGCCCACGATACACACCACGGCGTGAGGCACCCGTGCCCCCACGCGGCGCAGGAAGGAGCCCACCGTGCTGAGGAAGCGGCCAGGCTCGTAGGCAGCCAGGTTGACCACCAGCACGTACAGGGCCCCCGGGGAGAGGAAGAAGGGCTGGATCACCTCGTAGCGCTCGTCACCCGCGAGGTCGTACACGACAAACCGCAGGCCCCGGGCAGCATCGGCCGTCCAGCTGGTCACCTCGATGCCCTTGCTGGCAGGTGGAGGTGACGGGTGGCAGCCCTCCCCAGGGTCCCCTCTGCCGGGGCTCCTCCCCACCCCGTCCTCCATGAGGCAGTGGCGCAGCGAGGTCTTCCCTGCAGCCTTGTGGCCCAGCAGCAGCAGCTTGAGGCGGGGCTGCACAGCAGGCTGGGAGTGAGCCAGCTCTTTCTGGTAGGCGGCAATGTAGGGGATCCCCTTCATGCAAACCTCGTAGGGGGGCTGGATCAGCGGGTTGTCCTTGATCTTCCACAGGCCCACGCGGGAGAGCTGGCCGAAGTTGTCCGGCAGCACTGCGATCTGGTTCCCCTGCAGCGCCAGCTCCTCCAAACCCGTCAGTTCCACGATGGAGTCCGGCAGGTACCGGATGCGGTTATTGTCCAGCCAGAGGGTGAGTAGCCGGCCCAGGCCCGAGATAAGCGCCGGCACCGAGGTGAGCTGGTTGCGACTAAGGTACAGTTCCTCCAGGCCGGCCAGGGGCAGCAGAGCGGCCGGAAACTCCTCCAAGAGGTTGGAGGAAAGGTTGAGCGTTTTGAGGCGCTGCAGGCGGCTGAACTGGGCGGGCAGGGCCTGCAGCGCGTTGTTGTCCAGCATCAGGCTCTCCAAACTGGCCAGCTCGCAGAAGCCGCTAGGCAGGGTGCCCAGCTGGGCGCCGCTCAACCACAGGGTCTTGAGGGCGCGCAGGGCTCCGATGCCCTCGGGTAGGCCGCGCAGCCGGTTGCTGGACACGTCCAGCTCTTCCAAGGCCGCGAGCTGCAGCAGCGGCCGCGGAAAGGCGGTGAGCTGGTTGTGGTCGGCGTCCAGGGCGCGCAGGCGGCAGAGGCAGGACACGGAGTCGGGCAGGCGTGCCAGCCGGTTGAAGCTGACGTCCAGCTCCTCCAGGTGGGCCAAGGCGCCCAACTGGGCGGGCAGCGCAGGCAGCTGGTTGTGACTGAGGTTGAGCTTCCGCAGCTCACGGAGGGCACCCACGGCCTCCGCGCCCAGAGCGGCCAGCCGGTTGTGACTCACGTCCAGCTCGGTGAGGTGCCGGCCCAGCTGGGCCACCGCAGGGGGCAGCCGGGCCAAGCGGTTCCTGCGCAGCACCAGGACGCGCAGGCTGCCCAGCGCCGCCGCCAGCCCCTCGGGCACCTCCTCCAGGCCGTTGTTCCCCAGGTTCAGCACCTCAATGTCCCCGACGGTGGCCGGCAGCACCAGCTGGGGGGCGTCGGGGGCCTGGAGCGGGTCGGCCGCGCTGAGAGCAAGCTGGCCCAGGCTGCCCCGCAGCTTCCGGGCGCGCAGGGCGGCGTCCCG